ACACCCATGGATAAGTCGCTTATTGTACGATACACACTCCACGAAACACACTCCTCAGACTATGCAGCGATACCTGATCAATTTTATCTAAAGTGGGAAGCGCACCGACGCTCATGCAGGCATGGTAAAACTACCGGCAAAGGCCGCGACCATCGGTCTACCTCTACGATACCCAAGAAATGCACGTGTGTCTAGAGCTACCTAGAAAACGACTATAAAATAAATAAACACCCATGCAGAAGCCAATTCATCCGGGGGTTGCCGATTCGTGGACGGGTGGTAGTAAGCCATCTGCAGACGGCAGCCCTGTTCCTACATCATGAACGCACAGCGCCGCCTCCGAGTTGTGCAGCGCCATAAAGCAAACGTCATCTTGAAAGCCGCTCAAGCTCTCGACGGGAGAGCTCCTCCCAGTTCTGGTCGCTGTAACGCACGCGCCAGTACGGGTGGAGGAAGTCGAACACCTGGCCTTGTAGGTTCACTCCTCCGTCTTGTTCTTTCTGGAAGGTAAAACCTATCGGAAACAGCTTCAAGACTTCGGCACGTGACAGCGGGGCACGGGGCTTGACTGGGACGGGCGGAAGATCGTTCGCTTGCTGGGGGTGGTACATGTGCCAAACAGCGACGAAACCATCAAGCTGAAGGGGGGTGAACCTCCGCAGCATGACATCCTCTGACAAGCATTCTGACACTGCTCGACTGCCCGACTTCCCTTTGTACTCCCAAACCACTCGAGTGCCCGATCGACTTCTACGACAGTCGGCAATCGAGACGAACTCCAATAGCTCAGCGGCTCCAGAAGGGAGTTTAAAGTCGGGTCCTCAAGCATACGTCGCAAATTCGTCAGCGATGGAATGTCTGAGTGGGGGAGGTCTGAGATGGAAAGGCTTCACATCGGCGGTAGACACTCTTCGGCTGCGTTTCCTTTTACCATGCAAGCTGACTTCTTCACTGAGGCACGGTTGGATGACGTCTGTCACTTTCCAGGGCCCGGTGTACAGGTCGTGTTGGAACTTCCTTCCTCGGCGATCACGATGCCTCCTGCTCTCCGTCTCGCGGACCAGCACCAAGCTGTTTCTCGCAACTGCCACTCCGGCTGACGACTTCTCGATCGTCGCGTTAGCCTTCGCACGCGCCGCTACCCGCAACTCTTGCCGCCTCTCCAACGCCATGCGAACTTCGCGGAGGTTCTGCTTGCGTCGCTCTACGAAGTTGTCTAGCCCTCCCTCCGTACCTGTCTCGTCTGTGAGGGGCACTAACGAGTCCAACGTCGTTCGGGGCGTGCGGCCAAACAGAAGCTCGAAGGGAGCCATGTGAAAGGGGAGCGCGGTGTCAGGAAGCGTACGCTTGATCCGAATCGACGGGGACACATACTCATCCCACCTGTCGGGGCATGACCTACACAGGTCTGCTAGTAGTTCTTGCAACCATACCCCCAGCCTCTCGACTGAACCTTGGCCCCGTGGGTGATCCGCAGCACCGAACACGATATCTGCACGCAACCACTTGCACAGATACTTCACCACCTCTGCTCCGAACTCTGAACCCCCATCACAGCGAATGGTTCTTGGGACACCGAACGTCAGACGTAGCTCCACCAGCACTCAAGCTACACCCACAGCCTGCTTGGTCTCTAACGGGAAGCCGAAAGGGAACTTAGATGCGCGATCTACCACGAGCAGGATGTAGTTGCTTCCAGTGAGTGAAGGCGTGTTGATTTTGAGAATGTCCATCTGCAGTTCGTCCCACGGTTCTAGCGGCCTACCTGGCATCATGGCTACACGTCTGCTCTGCGGTCTCTTGCGCCTACGACAGCTGCATGATAACACGTACTGCCGGGTGTCGTGTGTCATCGTTGGCCAGTGGAAATGATGTTGAGCAGTGATAAGGTTGCCCCAATCCCCGCATGACCATGCATCATGTGTACCAAGGCGATGATACCGGCTATCATGGAATCGGGAAAAGCTGGCAATTTCCTACCCTTGCCATCGTCGTGCCGGATCACATCGTCAGCGCCTATATCGTACCGCTTATCCACACTTCCCTCCTGGCCCGTGTTCGCATTCTCACTCAAACTCTTGCGAACCTGGCCCAAAAGGGTTTCGTCCCGTTGCCGTTGTGCGAGGATGGATGGCTTGGTGACAACCTGTGCCGCCCGGTCGATGGCTGACGTCCCACGAACGTCTGGTCCTAGCGACGACCTCGGTACCTCCCTCCGTGCCGCGAGCACTTCACCCATGTCGTCGTGGCTACGCTGAACGGGCGACGGCGGTAGCGCTGGAAGCGGGGGTGCGGGCGGCACGGCATTGACAGGTGTGGGGCCAGCCACTTGCTCGTCCTGTGGAATCCCCGTCTTTCCTACCGGTGGCAGCTGCACGTCTCCGATGGGCTGCAGGCGTACGGATGGCGTGCGAGTCCTGCCGCTGCGGCGGAGTTCCCTGGGCTCAGCATCTAACACCGCGCACATCGCAAAGGGCAACGCTCGAAGGGCGAAAAGGTTAGAGTCAACGGTCCCTTGGCCCGGGGGTGGCGGAGGAACGTGGGCTACCGCATCTTCCGTCTGAGCTGTCTGTGCAGGGTCTAGATCGGTCAACCTCACACCGTCCAACTCTGGGCCTAGATCCTCGACTGATGCGCCCTCTACCGCGGACCACAAATCGTCCCGAAAGGAGTCATCGACGTCCACCTCAGCAGTTCCTGCAACCGGGAGTCGCGAAAGCGCGTCTGGCACCACATGCTCCACGCCCGCCTTCCATTCCAACACCATGTCGTACTCCATGAGCTGTAACGCCCACCCGTGCAACTTTGGGCAGAACTCTCGACTTCGAAACAACCACGTCAGGGCAGAGCAATCAGTCACCAGTGTGAACTGTCTACCAGCGAGGTAAGGACGAAAGTGGTCTACTGACCACAACACACCCATGCACTCCCTCTCGGTAGGGCCCCGTCTAGCGTCTGTCCGCGATGCTCGCAAACGCTACTGCTCTCGACACCCGTTCGATCGTCTGCATGAGAGAGGCCCCTACGCCTAGCGAGCTGGCGTCGGTGTGGAGCTCAAAGGGACGCTCAAGGTCCGGAAAGGCGAGCACCGTCGGCGACGCCAACGTCCCTCGCAACGATTGGAAAGCGTCTTCCTCTGCAGTGGTCCAAGGGATGGGGAGCTTGCGTGCACGTTTCGAGGCAAAAGCTTTGTTGCGCAAGATATTGGTGAGCGGTGCTGCCGTCAGACTGTAGTTGGGTACAAACTGTCGGAGGTAGCCGGTCAAACCCATAACGTGCGCAACTCCTACCGTGTGTGGGTGAGGCATGCGAGCAATCGCGACTAGCTTAGACGGAGCGGGGTACAAACCCGTGTTGTCGATGATCATGCCAAGGGACTCATGGGACGCGGCACCAAAGATGCATTTAGCAAAGTTCACCGACAGGCCGGCAGCAAAGTGACGGGTGAGGACGAGCGTCAGCGTCGCAAGTTGTTCTTCCCATGTGTCACTAGCAATGAGGATGGAAACCCGAGTTCGATTCTCGGATTGGACACCATGAAACGGAAAGAGAGGCTAAGATTTGGGTTGGATCCCGTGACTTGAATCTCGCTAGGGATGGGCTTGTGGCAGTTCGTGGCCGCAAGCCTTGATTATATGTATGAGAGGGAAGTCACGTTTTCAGGAAAGATGACCAAAAGCTACCGACCTGATGGTGGCAGCCTCTCGATCAGTACCGAGTTCAAAAGATGTGCGCTTGAACAGCGGTAGAGAAAGCCTAGAAGGAGGCTTGTGAAGCGTGGAGAAGGTCTCCGATCGTGGATACGGTTTGCACTTTGATTATTGCTGAGAACTGGAATGGTGAACAAGGTTGTGGGCTTCGTGGGCAGCACGAAGCCCGAGACAAGGGGTCCCGCAAATGTACGGAACTAACTGTCCACAACACCCTAGGGGGAACAACGCTAATTCCGAAGGGTGCAACTCCTTGTCGCCGTAAACTTTGTAACCGTAACAGATGCTCTTGAGCTGGAGCCCCGCCGTACTGCATGCAGGGTATCGATGGATTCCATAGCCACATTCATCGATCGGATGTCGTGGTTGACATGGGTTTATGTAGTGCTGATCCACACCAGTAGATGAGAGGGCGTCCCTTTCTCCTGAACCACCGGTAGGGGTGGGAAACTACGTGAACTGCACGAATGCAAAGGCTCTTGACAGCAGTAGCAACGGCCGTACGCCCTGCTCGGTTGTGTTGCGCCTTGCCGCCCATCATGCAGGCTGGAGTAACCCAACCAACGAGCCCCCCATCTACGCCTTGCATCTTGTTCTTCACGCAGACTTGTTGCTTCGTCCGCTGCCCACCTGATCTATACTTTTTTTTTGTCTCCACTTCAAATCAGCGCTCACAGCACTGGTGCCGTTTACTCCAACCCGTGGTCACACAGAAGATCCCCTCCCCTCTCTACCGTCCCCTCCTGCGGTACTTTGCCTTCGATTTTTAACGCGAGCAGAGTTCAGCACTCTCTTCCCTCTGTGTACACACGAACTAGCGCTATCCACTAGGCCAGGAGCGGAAGCAAGAGAAAAACTCACTTTGCAAGAAAAGCTCGCTTCCGCCGGGATTCGAACCCCTGACCTGAACTCTAGCAGGTTTCGAGGATACCAGCTAGACCACCGGGGCGACCATTAGGCGGTTGCTTTCGGTTCGATGGAAGGACAGACAGGCGCCTTGTCTTACTTACGGTAGGTATAGAACCTTGAACTTGGGGATCCATGTGTGTTCTCTCTCACACATAACCGCAGAGGAGCGACATTGTTCCTTAACGACCTGATGGAGCTGGTAGTAGATATGTAGATAGCCACGATCAATCTCCTCTCCCCGAGAGAAAAAGGTCGGGATACACCGCTGTGCGCAAGAGCCCATCCCATGGTCTGCGCATTGTGTTGCAAAGTGGGTTGGAGAGAACGGATAAACACCATGGAGCGGGGTCGCAAGACTCGGGATGGTCGCTCACAATCTGTGCGTCATACGACATAAAAGAACGAAGTAGCATCTTTTTCAAGTGCACACAGAAAAAATGGAGCAGCAACGTAATTAGCGATACGTGATATGCCCGCAGTTTCTGTGCCGACCTTAAAGGTTGTCGGCACGGTCTCTTCTCATTGAAGAACATTCCCCGTATTCACTCAGAATGAAGCAGACAGCTCATCCCTGAGATAGCCGGCCGTGCTTCGCGGTACAGCCAACACCAGCCACTATCATCAAGTTATTCGAAACGGCCATCAAAACTCGCTGCCGCAATCAACACCGCTGTGCATAGTGCCAGGGACCAATCTAGACGAATCGCTACATAGCTCCACCTTCACTCAGAACAAAGCAAACGACCCATTTCTCTGGGACCGCACGTACTCCACCACTTCCTCATGTGAAGCACCACAACCACCACCACCACCGCTACCACCGCTACCACCGCCGTCCCATGGCGTGAATCCCGGGGCGAACCCTCCAGACCCGTGGGGCGGCGATGCGGTCGCAGGGCGACGAGGAGGGTAAGGGTAAGGGGCAGGCGCTGTGCCGATGCCGGGGTCGATCCTCAACGAGAAGCAGTCCGGCCCGGTCGTATTTTGCACCCTCGCAACCGCGTGGACGAAGCTTTTTCCGATTCCAACCCAGCGGGGTTGGATAGAATTCGTGTCGTGCCGGGGGGAAGGGGAGGTGAGATGGGAGTGGGTAGGGGTGAGGCGAGCACGCGATCCGGGTGAGGGGGCTTCAGCGTGTGCGGCGGCGGCGGTGTCAAATGGAACGGTCGGACAAGCTTACAACCACGTAGACCGAAGTTCGGATTGATCGATCGAAGCACCGCAGCATTGCCAGCACGCTTGGGTGGGAGGGACAGGGGATCTGTTGTAAGCCACGGCCACAGGGTCATGGAAAACAAAGACACGAAAGCCAAGTGACCGACGGGGCTCTGCCTCCACCGCAGCAACGATTCCGCCTAAATAAAAGTAAATGGTGCGCATCGCAAGCCGCAACGCACAGATTAGTTCCACGGAGGTGCCGTACCGGCGTTCACGTTTGGGGAAAATTGGCAAAACCGAGGACAAAGAAAGAGATTGGTTATCAAGAGTTGGTGTTTGCCTGGTTTGACTTACCGTCCATAAAGCGCCAGCATCCCCCGGTCTGACGTCGAGCAGGTGCTCACCACGCGCACAGCCGCCGCCTCGCCCGTTACGTCGTCACACCCACCTCCTTTCGGTCTCGCTCCCTCCGCTGCCCGACTCCCTTCGCCTGGCGTCCAAGCAAACCTTTCTCCCTCTCCACCCACGATCCTTAAGCTGCCCGATGGTTGGGATTGGGGCGATGAGGTGTTGCCGCCGCTACCACTCCCCCTATCTGCCGGTTGAGGGGTGGCGGCGGTTGCTTTGTTCGGAGTTCCTCCCGTTGTTCTGTTCGGAGTACCTTCCGCGGTTGAACCGCGAGCGGCAGCAGCGGCGGCGGCAGCAGCTTCGGCTCTCGACTTGTCGAAGAATTCAGCTGTGTCCTGAAGCAGCGCCAGTATTCTCAACGCTGCTCCTCCTCCTCCTCCGCCACCACCACCGCCGCCGCCCCCGTCGCCGCTCCCCGATGTCTCGATGATTTTGTCCATATCATCGACTGAAAAAGGTAGGGAGGACGCGAACCATTGTTTTCAGCGGACCGGGATCGGCGGCGACATTGGTCGGACTTGGTGAAAACTGTTGCGCTGCGCGGAGACGCCGGGTCGGATGACCCATGACACGTACTAGGCATCCAATGATAGCAAGAATCCAAACTAAACAGGACCGGCGGCGTTGTAGCCGTTATTTTCGTTACTTTTTCAACGGCTGCCGTCGACTACGACAGACCTTCAAAGTAGACACATGCACACAGCACAAGTGTCAGCAATATTAAGATTCGTGTGAGCAAAAAAAGCTCGCCTGCGATCACCGTCGGCCACTGGCTCTTCTTGAGCGTGTGCAGGCTGGCTAGGTACCAGGCGAGGTCGTCTCGAGAGCGGACATACTTGATGCCGATCCTGCCGAGGGCGATCGCCTCCCACCCTCGCAGCTCGTCACTCTCACCTGGAAAAAGCGGCGGAGTAGAAGCGGCGGAATAAACACGAAACGAAAGAGGCATCTTGCTCAACACACACACAAAGTGCTGAGTGTGGATGACACTGAGAGGAAGCATGGGTGCTTTCGCTTGCGTACTTCCCTTGAGATGAAAAAAAGACATTAGCCGAAAACACAATTGACAGAGCGTGTGCAAGGCACTGCAATCGTTTACAGGCAATTGCACCTCGTCTCACATGAAACTTACTTCGACGGCAACTGGTGTGGGGTGCATACCTTTAGTCTATCTTCCAAACACCCATGGAAAAAAATCAATACAAGAGTGCCGTTTGCATGTGTCGACGTACTGCTATGGTTGTGTTGACACTGTTGCTGTTGCTGTTGATGTTGCTGCTGACATGGGTTGTATCGTTGCCTTGACCTAAAGAGCAACTGAGAGAGGCTTCTCCTGCGGCCACAAGCCTGATAGCAAAGACAAAGGCTCTACAATGTAACACTTGTTGGCACACACACAACATGTCATGTGAAATTACACAGAAACACCGATGTATCCAGAAAAAAAGTTGTCGTCCATCGGGAAGTAAGTGTGAAACGTAAAGAGCGAGGGAGGAGAGGCAAACATGCTAGGACAAATAGCGAGCGCCGCACTCCGTCGTGTCCTGGGTGGGCCTGCTCAACTACTACCAGAATCAGGCATCAGAAACAACTCTGAAGCTCAAGTCCAGGTTGGCGTTCGGAACAAATCAACAACACCACAGCCTGCTGCTGCTGCTGCTGCTGCTGCTGCTTTCAGAAAATGGCTCACCACATTGACAACTACACATGCTTTACTGCGTGCACGAGAACGGGAGGGACGGCGGACTAAAACTCCTTACCACCGGCCCTCATGGAGCGAGGCAGGTTCGAGAGGTCTTCGCTGTCGTTGGCGGTCTTGAGACAAACCAGAACCACACGGTGACCCGCCATGGCCGCACGGTGGCAATAGTCCCACAAAATCGTCGTTTTACCGCACCTTCTCAGAACGATGGTGCAACATAGAGGGCGGACCAAAAGTGCGTGTTGCGAAGCCGAATGGCGTCCTCGAAACATATGTCCACGTCCTACCCAGTCGGATTCCAAGGACCTACGGCACCGCTCCGTGTCTGACGCACGGCATCACATAGAACGACAAGGAACAGAGCAAAAACTACTGCTGTTCCACACAATTTGAAAAACGAGGGGGCACAACCCACAATGGGGATGAAATGAACGTGTACATGTCTCCACTATTTATACCGCTTGAATCACACTGCTGTTTATTGCACCCCCACACAGGTGCTTACGAATTAAGACAAGAAACGGCCAACATATCAACATTGTCAAGCAATACACGTATGCATACAGAAAACAACACCTGCATGTGCCCCGCACGAGAACTCTCAGTCCATGCTTAACCCTAGGCTTCCTCGTTCTAACGACGGTTGAATCCGCCTCGTGTTTCTGATCCAGAGCAGTGCCCCCACCAAGCCCCCCCCCACTCCCCCCTACCCCTGTCACTGACACTCCGCCGTCACCCCCTGCCCGATCCCGTCGACCCCTCCCCGCAGCCTCTGCGGCGCCTGGTCTGCCGGTCGATAGGGGGAGTTTCGATCCCGGCTCCTCGGGGAGAGCCGCGTCGTCGGCGAAGGAAGTGTTCTTGCGCTTGCGGAAAGGTTGCGGGGGATCGGGGTCCAGGGCGGGAATGATGGACCCGAGGATGGAGCTTTCGAGAGGGCACTCCCGCATGCTGTCCTCGCCGAACATCGGGGGCGCGAGTGCTGTGCCGCTATCGCTACTGCTGTTGTTGTGGTCCTCTGCCTGGGAACAACGTGACCAAGAAAAACAAAATCCAGTCGATGCACAACGGAGGACAGCAGCCGTGAGTACGAGTATGTGTAGTGGATATAACTTGCTGATGGGAAATTTTCCGTCCATGATGCAGATTTTGAGAATCTATGACTCCGGCGGGTGGGAGGGACGTTCGCGCCTCATCACTGGGGTTAGGGAATTAAAACATTGTGCGGAAACCCCTCGGCTGGGCCTGCAGGTAACTACGTCCCACGGGTGACGGACCCCCCCCCCCCTCCGCGAGCACGCGTGCCCTCTGACTTCCTGTGGCACAAGGTGCCAAAAACATGTTCCAATTTTACCATCTGGAGGGCCGCTTAACTCGGAAGCAACCTCTCGTCTTCATTGGCCGAAGAAAGTAGTGTTCCTGGGGCCTTGTTTCGGGCTGGAAACTTTCCAAACACTCAGCTACTGCTGTAGGGACACAGGGTTCCCTCTTTGGATGGTGGACTTAGGTCGTGGTAGTCTTGGCCCACTACCGGGGCCTAGCAGTTTTCTTCCTTGATATATGACAAGGGGAAAGGTCTCGGAACGAGAGAATGTTCAGCACTCAAGAGATAAAGGAGGATATCTACAGCAGTACATAAGTTTTCCCACTCCTCAGCTCCGCAGGTGGCTATGGACGACTCCGTATTTGGGGTTTCTTGCTCCACACCGACCAGCAAGATACTCCGCTCAGGTTGCATCTTGTCAAACTTTCGTACGTGTACCAATGACTGCGTCACCTCTACACTTGTCCTCCACGCAGCTCTGACTGTTTTCGTTTCACCGCCAAGATGTCCTCGCAGACCGCTCTTCTTCTCGGAGAGTGGCAGTTCTGTTTGCATGCGCTCGACTTATACTGCATCTACAGCAGCAGCAAAACGTAGTTGTTGGACGACGAGGTACGCAACGATTACTGTACATAGGCGAGATCACCACTGCTGTGCCACGGAGATACTGTACGGCATAACGGCTCTAGGCTCCTTCTCTCTCCCTCGCCCTCTCTGTTTCGTTTCCCCACCCCCCCCATCGCGTCAATGCTGCAAACATATGAAATCTCGTGGTCTGCTACAACATAGTATGCCGAATTACATATGCGCAAGGGCATCGAAAATAACAGCAGTGCGACGGCTTTTGATCCTACTGTAGGAAAATCACAGTTCACGCAGCTAACGTGCCCATGCCACCAGCATTTCCTGCTGCTGTCGACGACCATGACATGAAGCAACGAGTTGGGCAAAAATAAAGAGGCGATTCAAAATTCAAACCCAGGTGCTTGTTTCACGAGCTCACACACTCTCTGTGGATGCTTGCCTGGGAAGCCAAAGGGTTCTGCGTAAACGTAAGCGCGATGCTCTCTGCTCTGTCATGGTACAGCGGCTTCATCTTTGGTGACCGGGGGGGTAGTGGTTGGTGTATAGTCCGGCGCAGTACAGCAGACTTACGCCTGCAGCAGCAAGTGTGAGGGGGCAGCCGTGACAAGATCTCCACAATCTACGATGATTAGGGGGGGGGGTGGCACCGTAGAAGATATGAAGACAGAGTGCAAGAGCGGCACAGAGCGACTGCGCGGAGGGAGCAACAGAGCGTGTGTTGGGAGCAAGGAATCCATATGGAGGTGAGTGTGTCGTGTGGATGCCGAAATCTCATGGCTGTGCTTGAGTTTCGCTGATCACCCCTTGATCAATGAAGGTAGAGCTCCAACAGAGATCGCTGTTTTCTTTGCACTCGTGCACATGTTCACCTCCCTCCTACGGCCTTCCGTACATGCCATGTACGCCGCCGTGTGTCTCGTACAGAAGTCTGCCTTGCTACGTTCCAAATACACCGGCAACGAATGTGATGCGCAACTTCATATGACGAGATTGTTTCCCACTTCCTCCGACAGTAGATTGGTATTGCACATGCTCGCGACAAGCCAGCGTTGAAACCAGGGAACGTAAACAAACCGGCTTTATCTACGCCTCGCAGGAGTGTACATAGAATAGCTCTCCAGTACCATGATACCACTAGTGTTGGAGGGGACGTTCCATCGTACTCTTTGTAACCTGCTCAGTGGTGGGCTACTACTGCTGCGATGATCCGCGGGGTATTGTTGGATACAGCAGTGTTGGAAGCTGAAGAACAACACTAATGTAATCTACAGCAGTACCCTACCGACGTCCTGCCTGTATGCACCCATCACCGGTACAAGAGGTCTCCGTTGAGTCACCTGTTCAGCGTTCCGTCCGTGTTGTAATAACACGCCGTGAAACCGATGGTGGAAGTCATGTGGAATGTGGAAATCCTTTACGTGGAGGTTTGAACCCGTCTCCTCAAGTCTGTTGGAACGAGAAATGCCGTGTGCTTGCCATTTTGTTATGAAGGCAACATTCTTTGTACCATTCAGCTCTCCCTAGAGGAACAGCAGCAGACGTGACGCTCGGAAGAGTTCGAGGAAGGCCGAATCTATCCGACAACAGACAGCAGTAGTGCCGTCTACCATTTCGATTCAATTTCGCCAGGGTGGCAGACGTTGGTGCTGATGAAACAATATGACTTGAATAACCTTTTTCTCCTCCGTGTGCCTCTCCGTTCGATCCTCGCTCTGTCCCCGCTGCGGACCTTTCCACTCCCCCAGTTCACAGACACAAGCGCCGCCAACCACACCCGGCGTTGTCGACAGAGCAGCCGTGAGTTGAGCACTAGAAAAACCGCCCGGGTGGTTTCTAGGAGACACACGGCAGCGTCATCGTTATCGACGAGAATGCCCACCATCACCACCGCCGCCGCCATCCTGGGAGCGCTGATCGCTTCCTGCTGCCTGAGCGCCCCCTTCCTGGCCGAAGCGTTCCTTCTCCCTCCTGCCAGAGCAGGGCTGGCCCAAAGGTGAGAGGTGCCTTTCGAATGGAAACCTCCAGCGTCGCATTTCCTCGTTTCGCCAGTCGCTTCGATCCGATCTCCCCTCTCTCGCCGAGCTGGATTGCCGCACCTTGACACGTCCTTGGCCTAGCCGGATTTTGTAGCCGTGACGGCAAGGGTTTTCTGGATGCATTTTTTTTTCTGCTCGTAGCCCCTTGGCTGTTGGATCCCGCACTGCCGACATCATTCAGTCACCGACTGCCTCGCTTGCACGCCGTCATAACCTAGGGAAACAGCCGCGACCGCAAGGGTGATGGCAGCCAAGGGCTTCGGTAAAAGCGTCGAGCCCCCCACTCCCGCCCCGGCGACGACGGAAGGGGAAGTGGGAGGGGGCAAGGCCCCCAGAAGCGAGGGGCTTAGCGGGGTGGGGTCGTGGGAGGAGGAGTACAAGGTGCGTCGTGGTGGTCTGCGCCGAGAGTAGTTGGGGTACATGCTTTCTCTTAGCCGTGGCTGTTTAGACACGTGCACAGAGTCAGCACGACACCACCCGACGGTGTAGATCTCCGTAGATCTCCTGCTACGCGTGTTGTCAGAGCTAACAGATCGAATGCAGAGAAAACCAGTCACACATGGTCCGGGGCACACAGCGGAAAAAAGGCGAAAAACCCGGCATCGCCAAAAGAGAATGTAAGGAAACAATACGTATGTTTTCGGCTGGACCCAGGGAGGCCATATCACCCACTCCAAAGCCTCATGCGTGTCTGCGAACCCGAGCAGGTCTCTATTGTACTCCGTTGCAATATGGTGCGGCGTCCTAACCATTACCGAGGCTCGTGGGTAAATACGTGAACGACGAGTCGGGCAAATCTACCGTGAAGCAAGAACAATCGTGCTTCGAACGTCATGTTCGTTACTGGCGTTCTGATTTCCAATACCATTTGCTATTGAGTTAACCCCCCGCACGAGATGCACACCGTTCACCTTCAAGTTCTTCGGGCTCGTAGCTGAGCAACCATATCTCTGGAACCGCTGTATGTCATGTGGCACAAATCTGAAAATTCCCGACACACTCGCAGGCCTACATCAAGAGGACCGGGCAGTACCTGTGCAGCATGAGCTGGGAGGGCCACCAGGAGATGGGCAGGGGGGCCATTTTTGCCAACTACGACGACGCTCGGAAGGAAGACAAGCTTAACGAGGTCAGCTACAGCAATCAGACGTTACGTCGGATTGTTCACTGTGGTCCTCTTGGCGCTTCCTGTTGTCGGATGCCCGGTTGATGAGTGTGTTTGGCGAACTGTTCTGACGAGGCTTGGAACTTAAGCTGCTAATTCCGACACAGAATATTTGGCTGAACGCTGGTCCACAAATGAACCACGCGAACACGATCAACGCGGTTGGTGGTACTGTAATAGACTTGACCAACCAGTGTGCAGAAACAGCACCAGTCGGCGTCCCCCGGCTTTGATTGGCGTTGGGTCAAGCCTAGGCAAAAAGCAATTTACCTCCATACCGATGGCTTGTTTTTCAAAATGGAGTACAATCGTGCGCCAGAATCGGTTTGGAACGCGTGATGGGCGGTGTCACGAGAGTTGTATTTTTACTTACACGTGTTGCTTAACGCCGCCGTTGCTTCTGCCTGTGGACGCCCAACATGAACCGCAGACGGACAAGTTCGGCGGCATTCCTTCCATGTACGTGCCATTGACGGAGTTCGAGAGCATGAAGGCGGCGGGGCAGGAGGCGGGGGAAGAGGACGACCTCGGGCAGATCGTGAGGCGGGTCAAGGACTACCGCCCAGAGAGGGAGTTTGTCGTGGTCTTCCAGGCTGCGGGGGTAATGGGGTGAGTTGCTCTGTTACCGCTGGCAGCAACTATCTGATGGGGCTTCCTGAGTGTAAAGAATTTCGTTTGGTGTCTCGTCCCGTTCGGTGGAGGATATGCAAGGAAGGCACTGGCCTTCCCCTGGGTCCCCGCTGCGGCTGTGTGCGCAATGGTTTAGGCTGCATGGTCGTGTTTGCGACATGTGCGATGAAGCTGCATGGTGCTACTGCTGTATCATGTTGGCCGACGAAACCGACGTAGTACCAAAAAGAAGGAATGCGACTTTATCGGTTGCAAATTCAGCATTGTTCGTTTTACCCGTTCGCGTGCCGACTGCACGAACGAAGAGCAAGCGAAGCAAGAGGGGTACAAAGTTACCAAAACTTAAGGTCGCCTGAGTAGGCAGTATTCCTCGGCCAACTGGTGCAGAGATAGCACCCTATTATAGTGAGGCAAGGACAACGTTGTTAGCACCGCAGGCCTTGCACGAAGCTACCGTAGCTGGAGACTTGAGGTCAAAACACAGGTCAAACCTAATGAGAACTGATCATATGAAGATTTTAATGCTTTTCACATGTCTGCGCTCGCTGGATATCCCGTGTGTCCATCGGTGTTGCGATCGAGTACGCGTACCCGCCAGAAAAAGACCATGTATTAACGAAGCGTCGAAAATCAAAATTAAAATGCGTTATCGTGGAACACTGAAAAATGGGGGTCGACCATGTTAACGTGGATAGGAGACAGATGGGGCGAAAAATAAAAAGACCTGGCGCCAGGGGAATCGCCAGCCGTGAAGCGGTGATTTTTCTAGGGTAGGTTTCACGCTCTTCTGTTCACGAGCTAGCCGATATCTCGCCAAATATATGGAACGACTTGCCTCAAGAACGGTATCCGGGGGGAGCTGGTACCATGGGCTGTTGGGCAATGCCAAGGTTGGCGCCGCGAGGGGCCGAATGCGCCGGAAAAACAAAGGTCGTGTTGAAGCAAAAATGCCAAAGGTCGCGAGCGGTCAATTCAAGTTCGGGTGATTAATTGTGCCACCAGTTGGGTTTTCCACAGATACGTTTCGAAGGAGGAAGCAACAGCAACAGCAACGCCACTCGGCGGGAGTTACCTCTCTGCTCCATTTTTCAAGCTCAAGGTCTGCTACCGTGGGGGATCGTGCGTATCGGGAAAAAACTTTTGTTTGACCCTAAAGAAGAGCGGTTGGTTCAAGTTCGCGCCGATTGTCTGCTCACAGTTTAGTTTTCCAGCAATAAATTTGCGAAGGAGGAAGTAACAGCATCGACAATGCCACGTGGCGGGAGGTAGTTCTACCCACCGTATTCCAAAGTACAAGGTTAGATGCCTTGGGGTATCATGAGTGTGGAGGAAAAATGTTGCAACTACATACCCTTTCCCGCACGGAACAGCCCGACAAAGCCGCGCAGCCCTGTTTTGATCGTCAGTCCGTTCACCGCTCGTCACCATCGATATTATCTCATCGAGCACCCGACGAGCCGGCCCGGGTTTGGGCTTGCCGGCGAGCAGACTCTTCTGGCTACAAGTATGGCCATGGTCTCGGTGGTAGGATGCCGATGGCCCCTCTTATGAGCAGTGTACAGCAGGTCGTGTCGTACACTTGCTTTGCAGCGGCCTCGCGGCAGGTGCTCCAAGTCTTCGAACTCCTTGTCTCTTTGCTTTTGATTTTGATAAGAAAAGTCCCTCGGGGACTTCTTCCAAGAGAGAGGACCGACCATAAAATCAAAGGACCTCGTCAGGAGTTATGAGTGTTTCGACCAATCAGAGCTTGATTTTTATTTTTAGTTTGTCTACTTTTTGTTTTGATTTTTGGCACTTCGTTAAAATACGGCCTAAACAATGACTCGGTAGACGAAATCACAATCGACACGGCGTGTGACATACCATGCATACCGCTAAAGTTCAGGAGAAGTCGCAACACGTTGAATAACGAATGCCCGCCAAAACTCAACTTCAACAAGCTGAGCTTTCGGCAAAGAAAAAGGGGGGCTAAGTTGGGGTCAGGATACGGAGACTCAGGAAGCACAAACACACGCACATAAAGGGTAGGATCTGAGGGATCTGTGATAATAGATCATGGCTCTTCCGAAGGGCTCGTTTCTCTTGTGATTCAGAACACCTGCGAATGGTTGATGAATCTTTGGAAGGCTGAGAAAATGAGTCCACGAAGGCTCGCCCACTCTCCGCATCACCCTAGCTTGGTTGAGTTCGCTTGGTCACGCTTGGAATTCCTCTCGCCATCGCACCAAAGGCAACAGCTAGCCTCCGGTGACAGGTCATGGCCACCACACTCCGAACTCTCCGCTCACCCAGAGTTGAGGACTCCGCGACTGTGTCAATTTCATTTGTTGTTGTGGACATGGTCACGGACTCAACTGTCGTCTTTTGAAGGAGGCTGCCGTCTAGTGGTGTCTAGAAACGGTGGGACGGCAGCTCCATGTCGCTACAATACGATGCTACAATGCCGTGGCCAACCTATCGAGAGGGCCGTGAGACACGCTACACCCTACCCTCGACCAGTTCTAGTTCGTTTTTTCATTATCTTGTGGGTTATCGTCCGTTGCCTACCCCCACCCCGCATCCCAACACAGCGGTCGAATTTTGTCGCTGATATTGACCTCTGTTCCGCTTTCTTCACGCCTTCGCTGCTTCGTTGTCCTGCGTGTAATGCAGGGCGGACATCGTTCGGCCAAACGTGTCGCCGCCGGAGATGGCGAAACACGTCGTGAAGTCAGACGGAGTTTCCACGATGCCTAGCGATACAGGCTTGGATGGCGTCATCGATGTCAACTAGATCTGGCTCGCGGTCCTTTGTGCCCTTGAGTTGATCGACTCCGAGCGATTGAATCGCCGCGTACGTCGTCGACTGCCTTGAGCTGAACCCGACGGCCGCAAGTGTCGGGCATAATTTCGCGTCCTAGAGCGAGACGCAACCTCCCGACTAGACGAGGAAGGTCTTTGTAGCACTTGGAGCTTCTGAGCGCCTCGGCATGTACGCAGCACAAGAACCCTCTGTCTTGTACGTCTGGGTTCTAGCAAGTCTATAAGAGCCGTGCAAGGAACGGGATGTCCTTAAGCCTACGATGTTTCACGTTTGGTTTTGCGTTTCACAGCTTGCCTTCCGGAAGCACTACCGTGCGTCGACGTTGTTGGGAAGGTCGTTTGTCTAGGCAATTTTGCACAAAACGGGTAAAAATCTCTCCTGTCTATTTTGAGGGGTGCCCCGCCGCCGTCATGTGTTGCGGACAAAATCTCCGTTGTCTGAAGCCCTCGCCTAACTTGAGGGCCAAACACGGTTGACTTCTGGGTGGTGCAGACCGTTCCGTGTACGAAACAATCGCTTTCACGGCCTGGGTTCAATGAGACAGAATGAAGGATGTAGATGCCGACCAGACAGAGTTAGCTCACCCTGCTTTTGATGTTGGATTTTTTTCTGGGATAAAATCAATATTACAGTCGTGGAATCGCGAAACACGCAACATTTGGCGTATATTCAATCATGACAGTTCTACTCGACCCGGATCCTGCAACTTATCACGATTACAAAGCAGGACAGCTCACAACACATACTCCGTATACTCCGTCAAGGCGCAGCCCGAAACCACCCCGCTCCTAGTCATTATCCCTGGCCGGTACAGCAAGACGAAGAAGCATATCGGAACCAAAAACCCTTATCTTTAGCTACTTTCCAAGCAGGCGGCGTCCTCGGCGACAGTTCTCACGTCTCGGCTGATCAGCATACTCGGCTCTCAAAAGGATGTGTCGGATGCAGTCGGAGACTGTCGGAGAGTGGGCAGGGCGGGCGCGCAAGCAGAGTTGAACGGTAGCAATAGTGGAGTGCCAGGAATGTGCCGAAGGCAACAAGAAACGAAAGGCATGGAAGAACGCGAGCGCCAAATTGACACACGACTACATCTGGACATATGAGCGTGCGACTGCTGTGGACTAATCTGGACGCAACCGAAAAAATGAAGCAAACCACACCCAATTTGTTCGCTTGTTTCATGCAGGAAGAGATGCACACCAGACGGGAGGGTTGGGCATCACGCCAAAGCTGATGTTTACCTGCGCCGAAGCGGCTGCCGAACAATAGTAGACAAAAAGTCAAGCCAACAAGCAATTTCCAAAATCGGGCACGCAACATATGTACGGTAGGGAGAATCCATGTCTGGGGTGGTTCGACTGCCACCTCTTGGGCATACTTCGAAGAAAGTGTTAAGAGGAAGGTGGAAAACGATTATCCAACCCGTTTTCTAGGGCTAACGATGCTCCAAAAAAGGCATGCACTGGAACAAGTGTCACGGGTGACTCTCGAACTTCGTCTCCCGTAGCAACACACACGACAACAAACAGACGCTGGGAACGTTTCCCTTCTCTCTGTATTTTCCGCCTTCAGCACCAAACGAAAGAACCCAATCATCCGGACAACAGTCAAGAGCGACACGATAAACTCTTTCAAGCGCAAACAACGAAGTGAGATTTGGACCACAAGTCTACTCTGTATGCAGCGGAGAACACGCCTACAAAAGAGTATACGTTCTGGTGGGCGTTAGGAATGTCACCCTTTGGACGCACACGTAAAGACTCATACTAAGCGGAACCTACCCGATGCAAAAAGATTTCTCCAAAGACGGTTCAAACACATTTGCGACTCACCCACGTGGCTCACAGGAACGCAACGATGTTCCGGACAACACCTCCTTCGAAGCCCAACGACCTCGCGATCACATCGTTGAAGCCTCCAGCGGCCCGCCAGTGCTTCGTAACGGCAAGTACACCATCCGATCCTGCCGCTGCATCGCCTCGCACCCGAACATCTCTCCCCGGTTAAGCGATCGATCCTCCGCTGTCCGCTCTCAGCCGCACCTTGTCGGGGAAAGCACGGCACATGACAAGCCAGCCACGTCGCCGCCACGTCCTGTCCTTCTGGGCGTCATCCAAAAGCTTTTGAACGGGAGCCACGTCGGCGTATGTGGTGTGCGTGACCTCAACGCGATACTCCCAAGGCTCTGCCGGGCTGTTGCCGACGTTTGGGCCATCGTCGTCGTCGTCGTCGTCGTCGTCTTGGTCGCCGTCGTCTTTAGCGGATTCATCTGCCCCCCATCTCAATAGCAGGTCCACAGGCGAGCACGCATCGGCGGCGTCGTACCCTTCATCCACCGCAAGGGGTAGCGGTGAGCGTCCATTCTTGTCTCTCGCACGGATGTCAGCGCCGCTTCGAAGAAGGACCTTCATTTCCACGAATCTGTGCGACGAAGACGCGAGATGAAGGGGAGTTCTACCTTTGTTATCCCGGTCCTCGATGGCAGCACCCCCGTCAACAAGGGCGTTGATCAAGAGGTACCCGTCATGGACAATGGCGGCCTTGTGCAGCGCGGTGCGATTACCTACGTCTCGAGACTCCGTGTCAGCGCCGTGATAGAGCAGCTTTTCCACGACCCGGCCGGAATGAAGCGCAGCCACGTGCAGCGCCGTGCACCTCACTCGTCACGAAGAGCGATATTGGCACCACCGGCGAGAAGTGCTTCCACGCAGGAAACGCTGCCTCCTTCGGCGGCCTCGTGAAGGAGCCCTTGGTTTCTCGACGTCCGCTTGGTTTGATCGGCGCCGTGTTTCAACAGGACTTGGACGACTTCGGAGGATCCCGAGCGGAGAGCTTGATGAAGAGGTGTACCGCCGTTTGTATCCTCCGCCTCCAGGTCGGCTCCGGCAGCAATGAGTGCTTCAACTACGCCGACATCTTTGTGGTTGGCAGCTGTGTGCAACAGGGTAGCACCAGCTGTGCGGGATCGGTTCACGTCCGCTCCGTGCTGAAGTAACACCCTTAACACATCTAGATATCCCATGATAGTAGCCAGGTACAACGGAGGAAAAGCGCCACCCTGGCTGTCAAGGTTGGGATTCGCCCCCCCGACCAAGAGGGCGGTTGCAACAGGGACATCGTTTCTTCGTACTGCAAGGTGGAGAGGCGATTCCCCGTCGGCGTTGATGTGGTTGCCGCCGGCCCCGTGCTTCATGAGCGTCGCAATAGCTTCAGCGCACCATTCATGCGATTTGGAATGCAGGGGCGTCAAACCCTGCTGGTCCCTCGCATCGACACGAGCCCCTGCGGTGGCAAGCACATCGGTGACCGCCACGTGGTTGTTGGAGGCAGCAGAGCGCAGGCTGCACGCCCAAGCTTGTCCGTCGCATTCAAGCTCGCTCGATGCTGGACTAAAGCTGTCGCAGCCTCGACATGCCTACCCAAAGCGGCCAGGTCCAACGCGGTCTTCCCATCCTCGCCTCCACGAAGATTTGGCTGAGCACCTGTGGCCAGAAGTACATGAACGATGGCAGCGCTACCGCTCTCGGCAGCCAGGTGAAGAGCAGAGTACTGATCGCCATTCAGCTTGTTCTCGTCAGCTTCGAGCTTCAAGAGAGAGGCCACTGCTTCGGATGACCCCAGCTTGGTCGCCAAATGCAACGGCGTCTCGCACGTTTCGCCTCCTTGAACGTCAATGTCAGCACCAGCCTCTACGAGCGCGTCAACCACACCCGCTTGCTCGTTGGAGACGGCAATATGCAGAGCGGTGAGACTAACGTTATCACCGTGCCTTGGCGAAGGTTTGGCTGAGCACCGCCGGCTAGGAGTGCGTGTACCGTGGCAGTGACGTTATCCTTGGCAGCCACGTGGAGAGAGGAGAGTCCATCACCGTTCAGGTTGTTTGCGTCCGCCCCTTGCCTCAACAGGGCAACCACAGCATCGGCTGAGGGCGCCTTCCGGTATGTGCCGGGGAGGGGTTGAGATTGATGCTGTTGCCAAACCACCTGAGCTCTGAAAATTCAGTTGTGGGTTGCTGTCGGTGTGTAGATGCGATGTTCGGTCTCAGATTTTTAATCCGAGGTCGGGAAGGGGGTTTTTCAGCAAAACTTGTTTATTTGTCTTAATCAATGTATAGGGAAACGCAAATCAGGGGACACGAACTTCCTGTTCCCCCCCCCCGGGGACAAAACGGGGATTTGCCCATATCTTGCCCATTTTACTGTTCCGGTAGAACAAACCCTACAATTTTGCAAACCTTGCTGGCCACTTCCGACCAGGGGAACCGAAGTTCATGTCCCCCCCCCCGGGGACAAAACGGGGGTTTCCCCATTTCTTGGCCATTTTATGCGCTTTTCAGACCGCTGTTCCGGTAGAACAAACCCTACAGTTTTTGAACATTTTACTGGCCACTTCCCACCAGGGGACACGAAATTTGTGTTCCCCCCCGGGGACAAAACGGGGATTTGACCATATTATTACCACCAAGAGTTNTATGCGCTTTTCAGACCGCTGTTCCGGTAGAACAAACCCTACAGTTTTTGAACATTTTACTGGCCACTTCCCACCAGGGGACACGAAATTTGTGTTCCCCCCCGGGGACAAAACGGGGATTTGACCATATTATTACCACCAAGAGTTAAGGGTAGCGCACAATACTTGCAAACGTTGCGTTCGACACCACACCAGAAAAAGCAAGAAGAACAACAAAAGTCGACGAGTTCCATTGTTGTGGTTGGCAGCGNACGGGGATTTGCCCATATTATTACCACCAAGAGTAAAGGGTAGCGCACAATACTTGCAAACGTTGCGTTCGACACCACACCAGAAAAAGCAAGAAGAACAACAAACGTCGACGAGTTCCATTCTTGTGGTTGGCAGCCAACACATCCATCCATCCCTAGCCCACCTCCGGGAACCTCTTCTTCGCGATACTTACGCGACCTCTTGAGCTTACGTATTGCGCTTCCTCCCGCTCCCCCAACTCCTCCCCCTCATCTTCCTTCTCCCCTCCCCCCCCCACTTCCCCCATGCTCTCGTCAAGCGTAGGCGCCACTGGGGACTCGTCCGAAGATATGACCAGAAGAATAACGCCGGTCAATTGAGCCCCACGCGTGCGTCTCCCAACCATCTCTTTTCCCAACTTCTCCATCACCTCGCCAACCAAGTCGGGGTACACCTTCGCTACCATGCAGACATCGTAGCAGCCTATTCGGCAAGTCGAGCAGTAGCACGATGCGCCCCGAACCCGCAACTTGCAAGATCTGGTGAAGTTCTTGGGGGCGGCCCATTTCCTTGCCCTGGACTCGTCTACCGCCCACCTTCTAGCCGTCAACACCTTGTCTCCGGCCGCTCCCACCACAAAATCGTCTGTCTGCACCCCAACACTAGTAGCCCACACAAGACTTTAGGTATCCTGCACCTCCCCCAGCTCCTCCTCTGTTCCCGGGATTCGTCACGTCACTCCGTGTCTTGCGCTCGTTGTACACGTAGCATCCCTCACTCGCAGCGATCTTGTGGGCGATGTCGTGGTTCGTGTTGTGCATCCGCCGCCGTGCATCGCTGGAAGTTTCGTGCCGAATGCCGAGACTGTTGGTNTACGTACGCGACCTCTTGAGCTTACGTATTGCGCTTCCTCCCGCTCCCCCAACTCCTCCCCCTCATCTTCCTTCTCCCCTCCCCCCCCCACTTCCCCCATGCTCTCGTCAAGCGTAGGCGCCACTGGGGACTCGTCCGAAGATATGACCAGAAGAATAACGCCGGTCAATTGAGCCCCACGCGTGCGTCTCCCAACCATCTCTTTTCCCAACTTCTCCATCACCTCGCCAACCAAGTCGGGGTACACCTTCGCTACCATGCAGACATCGTAGCAGCCTATTCGGCAAGTCGAGCAGTAGCACGATGCGCCCCGAACCCGCAACTTGCAAGATCTGGTGAAGTTCTTGGGGGCGGCCCATTTCCTTGCCCTGGACTCGTCTACCGCCCACCTTCTAGCCGTCAACACCTTGTCTCCGGCCGCTCCCACCACAAAATCGTCTGTCTGCACCCCAACACTAGTAGCCCACACAAGACTTTAGGTATCCTGCACCTCCCCCAGCTCCTCCTCTGTTCCCGGGATTCGTCACGTCACTCCGTGTCTTGCGCTCGTTGTACACGTAGCATCCCTCACTCGCAGCGATCTTGTGGGCGATGTCGTGGTTCGTGTTGTGCATCCGCCGCCGTGCATCGCTGGAAGTTTCGTGCCGAATGCCGAGACTGTTGGTTCGCTCGGCAAGGCTCACTCCACCAGACTCAACGGGCTTGCACCGCTGGCCGGGGTGGCACACGTCCGTGTCAGTACACGTGTGCTCTCCCGCTCTGGCTGCCACAGCGAGCGCTGTGTAGTAAGTGGTCCACCCTATCGAGCTGTTGCAGTGCTGCTTCAGCGCTTACAACGACGCGCGGAGTGCACGAGTGTTGGCCGCGTCGATTGCAGCCACCTTAGCTGCTGCCTGCTCTGCCGCGCCAGCATCCAGCATGGCCCGTACTCGCTCACAGAAAGCGCATTAAAAGTTGCACGGGTATGGTGACTGCTGTAACTGCTGCAATGACGCTGCTACCGTGGTGTTTATTTGTCGCTCACTCATATGTTCCCCCGACTCCTCCAATAACCAATGATACGTGGTACGCAGGTTGCGGAGGAGCGTCGCCATAGCGCGATGGATTTGATGCAGAACGACCCCGTGTTGATTAGTCAGATTAATCAACACGGGGTCGTTCTGCATCAAATCCATCGCGCTAGAGCGACGGTCCTCCGCAACCTGCGTACCACGTATCAGTAGTTATTGGAGGAGTCGGGGGAACGTATGAGTGAGCGACAAATAGATCGACACGGGGTCGTTCTGCATCAAATCCATCACGCTAGAGCGACGCTCCTCCGCAACCTGCGTACAACGTATCAGTAGTTATTGGAGGAGTCGGGGGAACATATGAGTGAGCGACCAATAAACACCACGGTAGCAGCGTCATTGCAGCAGTTACAGCAGTCACCAAACCCGTGCAACATTTAACGCGCTTTCTGTGCTTAAGATATCGACGTGGTGGAATGGACCTCAATTCTTGAGGGCAACGAGGACGGGCAGCGCGTGTACCAAATTTCAAATTCAAGAATAGATCATCAACACGGGGTCGTTCTGCATCAAATCCATCGCGCTAGAGCGACGGTCCTCCGCAACCTGCGTACCACGTATCAGTAGTTATTGGAGGAGTCGGGGGAACATGTGAGTGAGCGACAAATAAACACCACGGTAGCAGCGTCATTGCAGCAGTTACAGCAGTCACCAAACCCGTGCAACTTTTAATGTGCTTAAGAAATCGACGTGGTGGAATGGACCTCAATTCTTGGAGGCAAACNCCGCAACCTGCGTACCACGTATCAGTAGTTATTGGAGGAGTCGGGGGAACATGTGAGTGAGCGACAAATAAACACCACGGTAGCAGCGTCATTGCAGCAGTTACAGCAGTCACCAAACCCGTGCAACTTTTAATGTGCTTAAGAAATCGACGTGGTGGAATGGACCTCAATTCTTGGAGGCAAACAGGACGGGCAGCGCGTGTACCAAATTTCAAATTCAAGAATAGAGCAGCTGGCACTAACTGGCGCGCAAGGTAAAGCGCAGTCAATCAAGCACTGGAACAACTTTCAGCAGCACCTCAGAAGTGATTCAAAACTCACCGCTTCCTCCCGCGACGTAGCTGGGGTAGCACCGCTTCTTGTCCCGCCATCATGAGCCAATGCTAGAGGGTCGGAGAGAGCTGCGTCAGCCCCCTTGCGCTTCGCCTGCTTCGCCGCAGCAGATGAAGCAGCAACAGCATCAGCAGGCTGTCGTTTCCCGCGTTTCGATGCTCTCTCTCGGATGCCTCCAACATGCTCTTTACCCTTTTCGAGGAGCTCAACTTCATCAGCAACCACAGATTGCACGGGTTTTCCAGCTGCCTCGGTGATAACCTTTGTCAACAGCTGGCTGATTTGTATCCCGCGGATGTGCTTCTTTCGCTGCTGTCTCACTACCCTCTCTTCCCCTCGCATTCGATTGTGCGGTCTAACTGCATGAGGCTGCCACGAGCCACGGCCAGAACCAAGCCGGGACAGCCGTCCTAGAACGAGACTAGGTCTGATGACTTCGAGAGTGGTGTCTCTTTATGTAATTCGACCAAGCGGAGTCGATTGCCGTGGAGAACGAGGCTTGCGTTCGCGATGTTTGTGGTGAAACAGGATGCGCCGGATCGTTTATCTAGAAAAATGTCGAAATGTTTTTTTTTCTCTCACACAACAAATCCACCTCCATCGATAGAAATATATATGTCTAGATTAGAGAGAAGAAGGGAACAAACTCCCCTGGCCCTGTGGCCGCTAGCGAGGACGGGTTCACCCCGGTCCTCACTGCGGGCCAGAGAAAGAAGGGAACGAAAAAACTAAAGGCTCAGGCAGCGGAAAACGCTCCTGACCCGCCAACTATTGAGGAACAAACGGCAGAGGCAGCAGAGGTGCTGACCAAAGTCTCCGCTCGGGAAAAAAAGGGGAAAAAACAAGAGCGGAGACAGCTCGAAGGGCGGGGGGGGAGAATCCGAACAGGATTCAGCCGCCCAAAGCAACGATAGCGACAACTCCGGTAGCAGCGACGAAGAGGGCGCACTCAGCGAGCCGGGCTCACGCGGCGTTGCAGGCGATATGCTGGACGACGACAATAAGAGCGAAATTACCTCCGTCGGTGAACGGTTATTCACCACTTCAGGGACCTTCACTCACAACGGAGTTAAGGGTATTCTCAAAGACCAGTATATATTTACTGAGAAAAAAACTCACTATGCCGGGACTCGAACCTATGACCGGGCCCTTATATTAGCAGGCTGCGAGGTTACCCACTAGACTACCGGGGCGACCGGTATGTGCGGTGCTGTTTAAATCCAAAGCGGCTGGTACGGCGCACACCCCTGTGCCAAGACCCCGATATGTGCGATCCTAACATTGAAAACCACAGTGAAAACCACAGGGGATAGCAGCAGCAATTCGCGTGAATGGTATGGCTGTGACACGATCACAACACAACCAACAGCCGCTAGTAGCTGCAAACACAAACGAGTCTCGGGGAATTTGCCACCACAACAACAGTTCCGTGGCGGAGAAATACCGGCGGAAAATCGGGAAAATGCCCGGGACGGAGCTGCGGGCTCGAACACACGCAACGTGCGGCTTCGATGTCGGAGGGTGCAAGCGCGGGACCTGCCGACGCCTCACAGGCCTCACAGGCCTCACAGGCTAGTGCTTGCGGTCCTTCCTCTGCGGATCAGGTAGCTGCGGCTGCGGACCCGAAGGCAATCGGCGAGGCTATCGATGAGATGCTAGCCGCCAACGACCCCGTCAAAAACAGCAACGGCAAACGCGCGTACCCGGAGCCCAACTTCCCCATCGAGCGGTCAGGAGCAGTGCGAGGTANCTCACAGGCCTCACAGGCTAGTGCTTGCGGTCCTTCCTCTGCGGATCAGGTAGCTGCGGCTGCGGACCCGAAGGCAATCGGCGAGGCTATCGATGAGATGCTAGCCGCCAACGACCCCGTCAAAAACAGCAACGGCAAACGCGCGTACCCGGAGCCCAACTTCCCCATCGAGCGGTCAGGAGCAGTGCGAGGTAAAGGTGTTGGGATTTGTATGCAAGAACTGACTCTATTCTACTGCATGGGTTTTGTGCAGTATTGTGAAGGCGTGTCTCCAAGTCTGTAACCGTCAGGTGAAGACAGCTTGGGCGCCTGTGTTTTGGATCTAATGATCACTCTGTGTTGTATCTACCCAAACTGCGCCACCACTGCCAACTACACAACAAACAGCAACTACAATTCTGTTGTCAG